CAGTCTTCGACGTTTGCTGAAGGATCTTTGGTGTGAGTGTTGTTTTCTTGAAGTATCGTTGTCTCTGAATGAATTTCAAAACAAGTTCTTCAGCGATCACTGAACATGMTCAGTGTATTGATCGCTGGAACTGAAATTACAGATACAGAAATACATCGAAAGGAAAAAGGGATTATCATCAAATCACTGTGAGAGAGGATCAACAGTCTGTAATTAGAACCATAACTCTTATTTATTCAAATTGTATTAATATGTAAAGACCAAGTGTAACATATATCATCGTTAAATTTTATCTTAAAAAAACCAGTGGAACTTCAAAATCGTTAAAATTCATGGCTCCCGCCGCATTGCGCAGGTACACAACTAGTAATTTATGAAAAATATCCATATTCTCGTTATTTTATAATTTTTATCACATTACTATTATTAATTGTAAATTACATCTAAAACAAAGTTATTTGTTACTTTGAGAAATATATATTTATTTCTTTTAGAACACATTTAACGATTTGTAATTAATAATGTTTATATCTAATGTTATATTTTGATGTTTCTTTTAAAAATATATTTTTTAAACTTTTGATTTATTAAAAAAAATTGGAAGTATGTTACGTTTGCCTTAAAAAACAATTGAGTGAGTTTGTGTTTTCTAGACGTAATTTTTTTATTAACCTGGATATCCAATCTGGTATGCGAGCAGACTAATTTCAGGGTGATCACCTGCTTTATGGATTGTCCAGAGTCACCGCATTTGAATCTATATGACCATAAGATGATTTTTATTCCTCATTTGCTTTGAACATGAGACCTCTAGATATTTTTAACCTTAGACGCAATCTTTATTTCGTCGTTAAACAAACTAATCATTTGTATTTATATTTTGTAAAATTAATAAAATATTTGGGTAAAACAATAATCATTTTTTTAATAAGCAAAACTTTATTAATGATCGATGGTATTATATAATTAAGAATTTAAATCTTCAATCAACCAAGCATAATGAGTCGTTTATTAAACACTTACTTGGTAAGTACTTACCGAATAAATTTTCTTCATCGGATGAATATGAGAAGGGTCAATAATCTTACTTGGTAAGTACTTATCGGATAAATTTTTTTCATCGGATGAACATGAGAAGGATCAATAATCTTACCGGGTAAGAGCGATGAGAATGATGGAGAGTCTTACCCGGTAAGTGAGGATGACGACTCTTATCCAGGTAAGCGCTTACCCATTAAATTGTCACATTCGATATGTTTTGATATACTAAAAACATACGCATCAAAATAAATCATAATGTTGACTCCTATCGGTAAGCGCTTACCGGGTAAACACTTGGGTAAACGGCCCCTAAATTTCTATCAACAAATTAGACACCAATTGAAAGTTGAGATTGCAACAAAAACTTGCATTGTTGCATCACAACTTCAAAAAATAGAATCAATACATATATAGAACACAAACGAACCTTAGAATTAGAATTTTATCATTTTACGTTGACTCACATGGTGTTTACTTAAGAAGACGCCTCTGATTAGTAATTTCGTTCTCTTACATATCAACATCAAAATCTACTTCTTACATTCTTCATACATGATTTGACTTGATTTTGATGTTACATCAAAATCTATTTTTTATATTTTTAACGTATGATTTGACCTGATTTTGACATTAAAAGAATGTAATTACTATTGGCCATGAATAAAAGTGGAGTAATTATTTTGGTCAACGATTCCAGATGATGTGCGAAAATAAAGAAAGCTATTCATAAATGGCTTCCATCACTTGCTCTTACTCTTTTCACGTTTACAGTAATACTTCCCTTTTTGGGAAACAATTCCTCCTTGCTTTCTTCTTGTTTCCCTTGGCTTTCTCTCTCTCTCTCTCTCACACACTAAAACACGTAGTTCATCTTCTATTTCTATACTCCATAACATTGATCAGCATCAATCGGTGGTTTCGTGTTTCGTTAATTCTTCAGATCGGAGCTATCAACAACATATTGACATTGTGAGAATGGCAAGGGGAAAGATCCAGATCAAGAAGATAGAGAACTCCACCAACAGGCAGGTGACGTATTCCAAGAGGAGGAATGGACTGTTCAAGAAGGCGAGTGAACTCACGGTGTTGTGCGATGCTAAAGTCTCCATTATCATGGTATCCTGCACTGATAAGCTTCATGAGTACATAAGCCCTTCAATAACGTACGTTCTTCTTCTTCTTCTTCTTCTTCTCTCTCTCTCTCTCTCCACAGACCCTAGCTTTAGGTTTGATTATTCGATTTTTAGTGATTTCGGTTGTGATTTCCGCCAGGACGAAACAGTTCTTCGATCAGTATCAGAAGGCATCTGGAATTGATCTTTGGAACTCCCATTATGAGGTTCCTCTTTGCTGAAAATTTCATTAACACAAGAGCACTTTTATCATAATATTTGTTGTTATTTAGCCCTGCTAGGGTTACAAATCGTTCCTTCTGGACAACAATACTAATTATTAGAAAAATCTCCATTGAAAATGCATTTTCACACACAAAAAACATATAACATTGTTGAGCCAACACCTGCTATGTTACCCATATTTTTTTTCCTGGTATTTGATTTGATGTTGCACATATATTTACCTATGAGCAAACATTTTACATTCTTAATGCATGATTTGACCTGATTTTTATACAATAGATAATGTATATAACATTCCTTTCTCATAATAATTCTTATAGTTTTCATTGGCATTTTTTCAAACAGTATTTGCCTTTTTGCTAATTTTGATATCTATAAGTACATACATGCATATATCGATTTCATTACACAATTTTCATTTTATTCTATTCTATAATAATATCAAAGAAGAAAATTGCTTTAATTCAATCAAGTGTACAATAGAATTTTCTAATTCAGACAAAAGGGTATATTACTCCTGTTTGAGTAGGCCATCATGAAGAAAACACTAGAGATTAGCAATAATAAAAGATGAAAATTGGGCCTAAAATATAAATATAATTCTATCCCCAAAATAATAACATATATAACAAAAATATGCAAGTATTTTAAATTATTTGACATTTTTTTTCTTCTGTATATTCTGCTTTTTTGGCAAATGCGAATGCGATTCTTAACATATTCTACATGCTCTGGATATACAGTATCAGGTGAATTTCGTCACTTTTTTAGCAATGAAATGCGATTTGCTTCAAAGTAAATATTAGGTCTCTCTTTCTGGAAATCTCAACAATCGGAAGACCCAAGTATATCATTTTTTTTATTAACCTGGATATCTAACCCGCTATGCGAGCCGACTAATTTCAGAGCGACCACCTGCTTTGTAAATAGCCCGGAGTCATCGCATTTGAACCTCCGTGGCCACAAAAAGATTTTTATTCCTCCTTGTATTTGAACCTGGTACCTCCTGGTACTTTTGACTTTTGGAGCCAATCTCAAACCAATCAGGCACCACCTTTATGGTTAAGTATATCATTTGTTTAAGACCATATAATGTTTATAGAGTATTAATTAGGTAAACATATGCCCATGACTTCCTCTCACATCTATACAGTAATAAATGTTTTCTAGTAATAGTTATTTCAACATATATATTACCCTAAAAGTTATTCCATGACTCCATTCCATTCACATTTAGATCTAGTCAAAGAGATACCTTAAAAGAAGTAGTTAGATGTCATCATTTGCAGCAAAAGTATTACTAGTTTCTTATGAATGTGAACTTGATGCAGAAAATGCAAGAGGAAATGAGGCAACTGAAAGAGGTGAACAAAAACCTTAGGAGGCAAATCAGGTATTGCTTAATTTGTTACTAAAAGATTGCTAAATATCTATGAAAAGCCCTTCTGCCCTACTCACAGAAAGGAGGGCTTTTTAGTATTGTCCTTTATGCTAGATATTGTTCATATAAACCCCAAACAGTTTAGATTTCTTTACTTCTTTTCTTAGATATATAGGAGATACAAAATGTAGAAGGTCATGTCCAAATGTGGGATTGAGACTTGGACCTTAGGTTATTATATGGAAACCCCATACAATTGGACAAACTTGCTCCATTTTGTTAGATCCGAACTTTGAATTTTTTTTTTTTGATTAACGTGGATATCCAACTCTTTATGCGAACTGACTAATTCCAGGGCGACCATCTGCTTTGCAGATCGCCCGAGGTCACCGCATTTGAACCTCCGTGGCCACAAGGGGATTTTTATTCGTCCTTGAATTTGAACTTGGGACCTCCTGATACTTTTGACTTTTGGAGCCAAGCTCAAACCAATCAGACACCACTGTTGTGGTTTAACTTTGAATCTTAACGTACCCACATTGGGATTTTATAAGCAATTGCTTATTTTATAATTTTATAGATAACAAAAAAACTAACTTGAGAATTCTTTTTAAATAAATATTAACTATTTAAAATGATAATTATAATTAAATTACAAATTATTTACTAAATTGAAATGTTTTAATAACTATTTTCATTTGTTTAAGTAAAGAGTTATTATATTAATGTTGGTTGATAAATCAATATTTTAGCATTAAATCAAAATAAATAATTTTTATAATTTTTTAAAGCTATAATGATTATAATATAGTTTTTTAATTGGTATGACATTTGAAAAATTGTTGATGTATAGTGCAATTGAAAAAAATAATACTAAAGTTATGTCATAATTGAGTTATATTTGAGAAAAAAATTGTGGTGAGAATACTTATAGACCGTTGGATAATTTTATTTTTATCTAATAATTAAGAAAATCATAGACTTTTAATTATCTTCAATTGATTGTTGACAAGAAAACACAGACCTTCAACTACAGTTTCATTCACGTTCATGAACTTTTACACAACCTTAATCATACATGAATTTGTTAAAGTTTTGCTCATAATTAATAAAGATAAATGAAGGTTTTGTTATCACGTTCTCACCATAACTCTTATTTCCACACCATCCAAATCTCTCTCTCTATATATATTGCAACTTTTCTCCTCCATTAATTTGTTGTTTTGGTGGTGGCGAAAAGGCAAAGGTTGGGTGATTGCCTGGAACATGTAGGTTTTGAAGAGTTGCTTGATCTTGAAAAGGAGTCACAGGAGGCTGTCTATATCATCCGCGAGCGCAAGGTCAATTTCTTTTCCATTCTTTTCTTTGCGTTGGATGTAGCCGTTTTCTATTATCGTACAAAGACTTTACAGATACATATATGCTCTATTCTTTAAAATACAAGTAAGATATGTGTTCATCGTACCCTTTTGACCCTATCTCCGAATAAGACCTATTGTTGATTTTCCTTTAGTTTTATATCTTATGTGAGAAATAATCACCTTTTATTAATTTTGAAGTTCAATTAATATTCATTTTGGTAGTTAATTTTCGTATAATTCTATTTCCTGAGCCAGAAAAAATCTGATTTCCTTATTCTATTGAAGTTTATTAATCTTTAATTGAAGCCCAACATATTGTGCAACAGCAACACAACTTTCGCTATACATTTTCTCTAATTATGGTAGGGTTCTATCCATTTTGCTCAAAATCTAATTGTGAAGTTAATTTAAATTTCATTTTCTCTAATTATGGTAGGGTTCTAACTTGTAAGTATTTATACATTATTAAGCTTGAGACCCCGACCTCTTTTTACAAATCCAATAAATCTTACGAACTTATAGACCAATACTTCATATATGAAACAACACGAGTGACAATATTGTTTTATATGTAAAACGTTAATGACTGTTTTTTTCCACATACAAAACAATCATGCACTCATTTTCAGCAACACATGAAAACTGGATTGCAAGTTTGTACGATTTATCGGATTTGTAAATTATTATGCGTCTTACAGTGTTTTAGATATCTCTAGTATAAGCAAATAATTTGAGTTGTAAATTTGTCGGAGGTCTTCTCTAAAATAGCCTCTCTACCATACATCTTATTTCTTAGACCCTACCTCTGGAAATGATATATTTTTGAGTTTTGCGTTGATTTGAAAGTTGAACTCTACTTGTATATATATGTGGGAGAATGTATTTCCATGCGGCAAAACTCATATCGGGAGTTTTTTTAAAAAAATTGCAGCTTAAAGTGATCGGTAATAAGTTGGAGACGTCCAAGAAAAAGGTAATTTTGTATATGTTATCAACAATACTTGTCTAAACAGTATTTTCAAGTGAGATATATATACTAGATTCATTTAACAAGTCTTCCAGGTGAGAAGTGCTCAAGACGTATACAAAAAGCTAATGCATCAATTCGTAAGGCTCCATAACTTGAATTTAGAAATGATTTGTTTTTGGTGGTGGCTTGGCTTGTGTATAGTAGTGATTTTATATTCATTAATGAATAGGATATAAGAGGTGAGGATCCACAATATGGGCTGATAGAAGATGGAGAGTATGAAACGGTTTATGGATACCCCCCGCCACAAATGGGTGGTGGTGCACCACGCATCCTCACTCTACGGCTGCAGCCTAACCATCCCAATAATCTTCATGCTGCATCAGACCTCACCACTTATGCCTTGCTTGGCTAATTAATTAATTAACCATGGCTTTTGGATTTCTTGTATACCCTAAACAAACCCTACCTTATTTAACTTGATTATCTGTCTTTATATTTTTAATTATATATCTCTGGGAGTTAACACGTTACCTTTAGTTAGGGGCTGTTACCAAATATTTGCGCTTATCGGTAAAATTTAACAATACTATTTTTTTACCGGGTAAGATTTTGGTCCACCAAAACGACATCCTATGCAATAATTTACCGCGTAAGCACTTACCGTGGTAAGAGTCGTTGCCCTCACTTACCGGGTAAGACTCTTGATCCTTGTTTTGCTCTTACCGGGTAAGATTCTTGGTCCTTACTATATTCATCGGGTGAGGTTGTGCGACTTAATAAACGCTTACCCGAGTAAGGGTTTGGTAAACAGCCCCTTAGTTATTATAAATTGCTTTGCGGTGTTAATGGCTTTAGTATCGAGTGAAGTCGGTTTCATCTTCGGTCTTCACATGGTTGATGGGATATAGAAAAGACATGGATGAGGTTTTTATTTAATTTATACTATCATTCTCTTTTAGGTTAAACTATCAAAGTATTAAACATTTAATTCGAACAATACGACTCAAGCTTTTGAGTTTTCTTTCTTTTACTATTGATTGATGTGTCTTCTGAATTTCCATTAGTTGTTTCAATTAGATTTTGATACTTAGCAACATTATATATAAAATCAGAACAAGTAATTGAAAGTCTGGTTAAGCAATATACCTCGTTATTTGATCCTAAAACACGTTTAGAACCCTAGTTTCTTCTCCTCTCAATATCTCCCTCAATTCTATATTGATTCTAGAATTTCTAAAGAGATTTTTCACATAACCAGAAGATGAATTAAAGGGTTCAGCGTTTTCATTTTCAAAACCCAAACCACGTCACCTAATTTCTCCGTTCATCTGACATGCATTGTGATGGTATTGAAATTACCAACTCGCTTTCACATACAATGCATAAGGTGAAATTCTTTTTTGAAACAATTATGCATATCACTTCATCACAGATGTTGCTTATATACTTGCATGACAACTATAACAAAATCGCACCTTTCATATAGTACCTATGGGTCCTTAGCGAGATCACTCTGAACTCACCATATTTGACCATACCAATATTGAAATTCGATGTTTTTCTTGCTAAACAACATTCCCAACGTGCATATGTACCGTAAACATTATTTATAACAATGATTCAAGCCTAAATCATTCATTCTTTCACAATTTCTATTAAAATAAAGGCCTTAGAGGCTCATTCACAAGATTGTACCCTTCCTAAACTCTTCCCAATATCATATGCTACTACTAAACAATAACATAGAATTATACCTTGAATCCACTCATTAGTTCTTCAAACTCCACTACCATTTTTTACTTTCAAAATAACCACATTTTTCTTTCTTCCTCAACCATCATAATCCTTTTTTCCTTTGTCAACGGTTGTTGATGGATCAGATTAAACAGATATACGTTCTAAAGGTAAAAGTGGAGCATGTTCAGATGAGACAACTGTAGTATCGTACTGGGTTGTTGAAACAACTTTGACATCATCGGATTTCTTAACAGCTTCATCGGATACTCAACAACAACATTATATACTTTCAGAACTTCATAGGATTGTTGAACATCCTTCCCAGTGGTATATTCCTTACTTGGATATTTCTCCCCCTCCACTGGATGCTCTTCTTCAAAATTCGACTTGCCTGTAGTAGTATTTGTCAGACTACTATTTAACTTTATCTTGTATTGATCTTCTTTTTGATTAGATGACGAACCAATCTGCTTTGTGACGATCTTGACCTCACTTCAACTAGTGTTTGATTTTGTTGAAGGCATTCATTTTTGAAGTAATACAGATAGTTACAAGACTTTTACAAGTAAAAATCTTATCTTGTTGTATTCCGAAATATAATCTGTAGATCGGATTTTCAGCTACATAAACTTTTATGAAGTTCGTTCATAGGATATCAAAGAAAGACTTCACTACTAGAAAACAAAGTATCAGCATGACGAAAAAAATCTCTCGTTGATCAACGAGTGAATTGGCAAAAACCAGTTCAACGAGGGAATGACCAAAAACCAGTTCCCTCGTTAATCAATTATTAATTAACAAATATATGTTATTTAATAAATATAAGTAATAATTTGATTAATTAATAACGAATAAAACCCATTAAGGCTCATTAAAAGCGAATAAAACCCAATAAAATGGATTGGAACCCAATAAAGCCCAATAAGGCTCATTAATCCCCGTAAAACTAAATAAAGCCAATAAAAATGAATAAAGCTCATTAAAATTAAATAAAGCCTAATAAATGGATTGGGGCCTAATAAAACCGAATAAAGTCTGTTAAGTCCCAATAAAACCAAATAAAGCCAATAAACGAATTAAGGCCCAAAAAAGCTTATTAAAGTCCAATAAAGTCCGTTAAGACCCAATAAAACTGAATATACACATATGGTGTACACATATGTATATAACACGGGCCGACGAATATATATACATACATATGTGTACATATGACACAGACATTATCTAGACATTTGCATATACATATATATAACATCTGATACATGTATCTTCAACAATATATACATAAATCTAATCATGGTTAGTAACCAACAAACATATATACACATCGTGTATGCATATGTATATAATATGGGCCGATGGGTATATATACATATAACACATACACATGTGTACATATAACACACATCACAGTTAGCAACCAAAACACACACATATATATAAATTACATATACATGTATACATATGACACCTATATATAACATGTGTACATATAACACATAAAAATGAGAAAATAAGAAAAATAAGATAATCCCTTGCTGATCGGTGAGGGATCAACAAGGGAAATGCCATAAAACAGTTCCTTTGCAGATCACAAATCTTGAATTGTGGTAATAAGTTGATAATCTCATAATGATATAAACAAAATAGATTCATGAATAGTATAAGTATATAACAAGGAGATGCTGAATTAAAATTTAAATTTTTTTGAATTAAATTTGACATTTAGCCACCATTTTTTTTTTCAAAAAGTTTCTCAAATATTTGATTGTATTGTTGAGTTAATTATCTCACATTGATAGATAGAAGAAAGTTGACAAAACATTACAAGTATATAAGGAGAAGATAATGAATCATAAAGTTTAAATAAAAAATATCTAGTGTTCGTTGGAGATGGTTAAGTGAACAAAAAAATACACAAAAATATGTAAAATAATAGTTTTTGATAAAAACATAATGCAAAAAATTATTTTTTATATTTTAAATATAAACCTAAAAAAGTTTATTACAATCATTCATATATATATATATATATATATATATATATAKAGAGAGAGAGAGAGAGAGAGAGAGATCGATCAAATGAAAACCAACTCATTTATGTAAACCATGTAAACTAATCTCATCAATCCATTTTCTTGATCAATGGTCAAGATTAGTACATGTTATATTAGGAAATTAAAAAAAAAAAAATTTATAATCCTAAAAGGGAAAAATGGTAAATTTGGTGCTGATAATATTAATGACAACCATATCATGTATATCGTCATATTAATAAAACAAAATCATTTGTAAAATAATATATTAATTTTATGTTCAAATATTATAAAAAATAATATCCATCATTAAAATAGATCAACAATAAAAATAAAACACACTATAATCAATTTAACATAATGAAACCTTTTGAATAATAATAATAATAATAAAATTTACTACTACATTTAATGAACGAAATGGTTTCACAGTTTTATCAATACACAAATCAACGTAATGCTAGATGAGACATTTGTCACTTTCAAGTTTCCGATAGACGGATCCGTTTCAATCTAATTATGAAATGGTTTCACTGTTTGCTAATTAAACAACATGTTATTAAAAATTATGAAATGGTTTCTCTGTCATTATGCACACATTTCGTCGACAAAGTTTTTGCAATCCGAACATGTTTCATAGTTTCATCAATACACTAATCAACGTAATGCTAGATGAGACATTTGTCATTTTCATGTTATTGGTAGATGGATCCGTTTCATTGTGATAATGAAATTGTTTAACTGTTCGTTAATTACACAACATTTTCTTAACAATTATGAAATGGTTTCACTTTCTTTATGCACCCATTTCATCGGCAGATTTTTTCCAATCCAAACACGTTTCATACAGTCAATGCATTTACCATTACATGCTTTGTTAACCATTAATTGAATAAAATCATCCAAAAAAATTTAAAACAAAATGAAACAATTTAATCAAATAATTGTTGATAAGAAAACAAGATTATCCAAGAATATTATATTACACACCCAGTTCATCACTAAAAGTTTCATAAAACAAGCTTCTCAATGAACATTTTCACGAACCAATTTGTATACGTTTCATAAAACAAACTCCTATATGAACGTTTTCACGAACCAATCTAAACATGAATCTATTTCACAGATGATTATATTTTTACCAATTCATGAATCTTTGTTAGGATATGTTACTGATTTCGTGGATCAATGAATATAATAATTTTTGATTTTCATATTCTTACTACTAATAAACCTAGAAAACAAATAACCATATTTAATTTTTAAAATACTAAATTAAATAAACATTTAAATATTACCATTTATAACATTTCATTTATTACGTTACCTTAAAAGATATCTTAATAACTTCCATATTTAATAAAAAATAATGCAAATAACAACTCTACCCTTAATGATTAAATTTAATTTAAAAAAAGAAATTTTTCTATTGTTCGAAATCGGTTTACACGGTTCTTAAGAATTAGAAGGTTTTCAACCGATCCCACCTATATATTTGTATATATATATATATAAATCAATTTATTTTACTTTTTTTTTTAATTTATGTTATATCAATCTCTTCCTTTCTCTCTGTATAATTTAAAATTTGGTGACAGTAGATAATATTAATTGATCAATATTTATTAATTTACATTGACTTCGAATTTATAAAATGCAACATCTTTCCATTATATATATATATATATATATATATATCATCAATATAATA